CCACACATTAACAATGTACTGGTACACTCAATTAAGAGTGTTCGACATCCATCCTTCCACAGTCACACCGATTCGAATAAAAAACAGACATTTAATGTAAACATGAAAAGCACTGTTTATTTTCTTAAAATTAAATCAAAATTGAACACAGACAAAAAACAATAGAGCAAAAGCATTATGTTTGCATGGTTTATTATTGAATTTTGAAAATGTAAAGGATTGCTGCATTTTCATTTTGATAATTATTGAAGATGAAATCGATTTTGAATAGTCTTTCTAATACGAACGGTAGCATCCTTAAATTCTTTTCGATAAAATTCAGATAGTAAAACAAAGATTGCGAATATAAGTAATGGTGGAATAAATGAAATGAAATAACCACCAATAAAAAGCCAAGGATTTCGAACTGATTTCATACATGTAGATGCAAATGAAATAATAAGACGTAGAATGGCAACTATGACTAAAACTAACGAGCTTAATAAGCGATGTTTATGTTGATGAAATTGATTACATAGGAGTTCTCTATATGTCTGCTCTTGGCGAGTTTTCGATTTTTCTCGAGCTATTAAAACAATAATCGCTAGAGTAGCAATGAAATTTAAACAAAACGGTAGAATAAAATGAAAAATATTGACAAATGAAGCATAAATTCTTACAGATGATGAATAACGAATTACACACCATGTTCTTTGTTCTTCGGTGTCTTCAAGTAAATGACGATGAAAAGGATCATGAATAAAACTTGTCAAAGTAAATAGATTTATACCAAGGATTAGTCTTTTAGCAATTTTTTTACTTCTCGCTTTATTGAATTTAACACCAAGTAGAATAGTTATTACGCGTTCGAAATTGACACAAGCAGTCAACCAATCTCCAATCGATGAAAATGCTTTCAAAAAAAAATCTGTACAAATACAATTGCCCAAAAGAAACGAATTATTGGTAATAATTGCCATTTGGGACAATAGAAGAAATAAATATTTCAGTCCAAATATTATAATTATTATAAAAGATGTAATTGATGCTGCAAGTAGATAAATACCAACGCCAACTTCAAGTGACCGTTTTGTTTGAAATGTAATCACAGACAAAGCAAAATCGAGAACTGCAATAATGAATATCAGAGTCGTCAATAGCGTACTGATTTTTACTGCGTTCGATTGTTTTGAGAAAGGAACATTTGACCAAATGCTATAACCAAGAATATCATCGAGTGATAGACCGAATCCTATTGTAGTAAACTGACATCGAGTACCAAAATAACATTCTTTGCATGCGCATGAGAACGATGTTGGACAAGTAATATTGTCAAGATAACATTGAGCATCATTTTCACAATAATTATAACCGAAGCAGTTGTCAACAGGACGATAATCGAATTTGAAACAATTTGCATGTCGATCAATATCACATAGACACATGAAATAATCATTATCATAGAAACATGCAAGATTTGAATGTTTTTGACATAGAATATGATAATATTTAGCACGATGCCATCGTGATAACATTTGAATATGATCATCAAATAGTTCATTGATTGATGAACAGCGATTTTCAGGCATAATTGTCGTTGAAATATTCATTGTTAATGTATAATTATGTTGAAGTAGTGTAAGATAATAATTTTTATGAAATTCTACAAATATTAGATGAAATATTCCTCCATAATAAGAAAAAGGAGAAGTTTCGTTAAACTTTAATTTTGAAATAAGAGTACTTCGTATTGGATCGGGAGGAGGTAGTGAAGAAGTAGAGTGGGGCTTCGATGGAACATAAATAAAATGAATTAGAATCGATTGTGGGATGGCTATTGTTGTAGCAAAATGAAATTCAATTTTTCTTAATGAATCATCACATCTTAAGCCCATGTAACTTTGAGAACAAAGACAAAAATATTCTGTTTCTGAATACTTTACATCAGCAGCAATACATTGACCATCATGCGAACAGTTGTTGAAGACGCATATTGTTCTTTTTAGATAACAACGCGGTCCGAATTTATCAAGAGGACAAACGCATATTGATTGATTGTTGACAACTCCAACACAGATTGAATCCGATGAACAGGAACATGCATTCTTCACTGTACATAAAGCTCCAGAATAGCCATCAGAACATTGACAGAAGTATTGATCGACATTCAGAAAACGTTGACATCTTCCATGTAGACATTTCAAAGGACACTTTGTAAATTTGGCTGTAACATCTAACATTGGAACATTGATTTGTAAGGAAAGACAATGTACTGGTAAGAATGAATATAGAATAGGATAGAACATTGAGAAATAATATTCCATTTTGTCTTTATCATAGATATCGATGCGTAGATAAAATGTTTGATTAATATGTTTTGGTCGGGATGAATAGAGAAGATATACATCCCGAGTCGAACTTTTTTTTTCAAGAGCTTGACAAGACTTGAGCTCAAGATGTGTCCATAGCGCATGACTTTCTTGGTCAAGACAAGCATCTGAGTGATCGCATGAGTCATGCGCATGGTTGAAGAAGTCATGCGCTGAACTCAAGAAATTACTAGTGCGAGTTTTTATTAAAATTTCAGTCATTTTGAACATAGAACTGAAAAAAAAAACAATGAAAATATTTCTTTAATATTTAAGCACGTAACATTTCTTGCACAGACATTCAAGCGCATGAGCAAGAATATCAAGCGCTTTAGTTTTTCCTAATGGTCTCAAGTCTTGACTCAAGATGTGTCCATAGCGCATGACATTCAGGGTCAAGAAACTCAAGAATGTCATGCGCTTACTAAAAAAAGTTTGACTAGGGATCGAATTTTTTTCGACAATCACGTACGGACAAATAATCAACCTGTTCTGACGAATGAATAGTTGTACTTCCGTCAATAAGCATGATCACAAAAGTAAATACTGTTCGCCATTGAATTACTCGAAATTGTAATGTGACACCAACTCGTTCACTTTGATATTGACATCGATGTCCGAAATAGGCTGGTGGACATAAGCAGGAGGTTTCATTCAAATTATTTTGATAGACAGGAATCCCACGATTGCAAATCTGGCTCAGCAGAGGGTTTGTATATTCAAAACAGAGCTTTTTAGCTTTGTGATTAGGATAAAAATTGTGTACAGTTGTAATTGCGCTCGACTTGTTGTGATTGGTAATACTCTCAACAGAAGGATAGACGAAATGATTTTTCAAGGTGAAATAGACATAAGGTGCTCTTTTAAGGCTCGAAGATAGATGAATCCAATAAGATTGTTCATTTGCATTCCGTGGTCTTTGACGTAAGGTGATATTGTGTGTCAAAGCTGATGGATTAGAGTTTTTTATACACCATAGATCGCGATCATAGCTCGAAGAACAGTGATTTATGTTTAAATCACACATTCGATAAATATGAATACAATTTGTTTCATTGAAACATCGATAATTTTTATCCCAATTGGATCCTAATTTGTTTCCACAACGATATTGCTCATCGTAGCCACCTATACAATCAATATGGCCGTCATTAATTCGAGCAAGAGGTAAACAGGTGAAATTGTTACTGTATGGTGACATACAGAGGTGACCATCGGGATGGCATAGATTAGTAGAACAATTCGCTTCATCAACTGCATTCGGACAATTCCATTTTCCATCACATCGCGTATATATATTGTTACAGACCCATTCTTTACAATCCATTTCATCTGTATAATTAAGTCCATCGATTGTGTAACGATCGACAAAGCCATCACAAAGTGTTGTGAATGATAAATGAAAAGTTTGTCGAGATGTACCGAGTACAAATTTTGCATCTTCTCCACCGATACAAATTGGTCGATTGGTATTAGCTCTAGTCATTGGAATACATTTGCTCTCCGAAGAACACCGATAACGATAATCTATATCTAGTAAGGAGCAACTATTTATGATTTCTTCATCATCTCCTTGAAAACAATCGAAAAAACCGTCAACGAGTCGATTCAAAGCAATACATTTCGATGAATTTGCACAACGATATGGCTTTGACTTTGGACATTCAGTATATCTAGTCTTTGTGATTGAACATTTAAGAAATAAGGTCAGAACGTCGCTTACAAAATTATATGAATCTATCGATGATATATCTATGTTCAATTCAGAAGTACGTCGACAAGTTGAACCATTAATCAAAATAGTAGCCGGAAGCCATTCACATAATTCTTGATCGTAGCATATATAATGAGGTACAAAGATGTCTTGTTTAAATAGATTTGTTAAATTATTTGCATACACAAAGTGAACATGATTAAGCACTATCGGTTGAACGGGAAAGAAGAAAAGAAACGGACACTTTTCTCGAAATCGATTTTCCTTCTCATCGTCATCTATACATTCCGCGTTTTCAATAAAATAGTCAGTGGTAAGAGCTGTAACGGAATAGCAAATCAAAATTTCCCAGCATTCAAATGATATATGAAGATTTTCATTTCGAGATAATTTTGCTTCCTTTAATATAGAGTTATGATTCTGCCTGCAAAATAGCATACTGCATTAGCCATCATCACATGATAACATACGTTCGTTTCGAAATTTAGTCTCTTCACAGCGGAACGTCGGATCCTTAAAACAATTATGACGACCACTTAAATAATCTTCTGTCTCATCATACTTTTCATCCGAACTATCGATGCAGTCTGGATTCAATGAATCATCGTTGAACAGCTCTTTTGGAATACAAAATCCGTTACTACAACGGAACTCATCATCTTTGCATTCATTCATATCTAACTGATCACAATCAATTTCATCTCGACCATCATTTAAGCAATCAATCTTTCCGTCGCAAACTTCACGCCAGTCAAGACAAGATGGCGATGGACCTCGATTGCATTCCATGAATATATAACATGTCCCATTGTAAACTGAATCATGAATTACGAAAGCAAGATGAGTCAAATAAGTCGATACAATTTCATTGAATGTACATGACATACTAAATGAATATTGACAATATTCACCGAACCATGGTTCTGAACAATTGTGAAACGTATGAATTGACAGAGATGACTGAGAATTTTCGAGAAATTCTTGATATCTTTCAACTCCATCGACAGGTGCAGATAATAAATATAATTGCTCACTTGTTATGTTTTTTTTTTAATGTTTCGAATGTAATTGATGTTCCATGAATAACATGTTTTTCGCTAGTGAACGACCGATTCGATGACAAATTAAACGAACGTATACAATAAGAAATAATTTGGTTCGATCGAATCGTTTTGCTTTCATGAGTCGTATTAATTTCATTGGCAGTATTGGCATTATAAAACAAACAGCCATGGTGCAATTCATTGCCATCTATATTATTTGTATAATAGAGACAAAAATTTGGTGTGGCCACCGAGGCTTTTGGCACCAAAAAAAACAAGAATAAAAAATTGTGAAATATTCTACTTGGTATTGTTTTAGACATTTATGAAACAAATGGAAATAACACTACCACTGTTAGTGGTTGTCAAACTCTTTTTATAATCATGTATGACGCAGATATATGAATAATACGGGATGCTAATATCATATATTTGAGCGCCAAGCATCGACAATTCATTTGATGCATGCTATATTGCAGTCAGTTCCTTCTAGCTATCTTTCATGATTGAGGCAGTGACGCAGATAAGGGCTATCGATCATTTATTAATAATAAGAATAGCATATAGACTTGCTTTTCTATGATTTTATATTGAATATTTAATTAACAAATGACAGAAAAAGAATTAACGAGTCAACATATTCCATAGAAGAGATTTCTAACCAACGGAAATGTAGCCTCGCTAAAAACGTAGATCTTATGCTGATATTAGCAGGGTTGCCAGATTGTCTGAAAAGTCAGGACAGTGTCTGAAATTTGGATGCCTTTCTGATTTCCTTCTGATAGTCTGATTTTTTTCTGATTTTAGTACTCTCGTCTGATTTTTCCTGTTTTTGATAATTTTCCCTGTTTTTCTCCTGAATTCTAAACTTTTCTAAATCATATTACAGCTTTTTTTTTTAGCGAAATTAAATCTTATCATAACCCATTGCTACAATGGATTAATATTGCATCATCTTTTCTCTCTATTGATGATTGGTAGTGTCGATGTTATACAGTCAGCTGCTGAAGGTGAACTGAAGCTTATAATAAATCCTTATACTTTTTTTGCGAACGAATTTTGAGTTTAGCGAAAGAGTTCGACACTATGTGTCTTCATTAGTTTTTCCTTGTTAGCTAAACAGTGCATTCATTGTATTATGCTTTTTTATAGCGAAATATCTTTGAAAATAAAGTATGGATTAATGAACAGCGATTCAATAGAGCATCTTGTACCAATATGATACCATAATAACTACTAGGTTTTTCAAAAACTGACTTTTCTGATTAATTTCTGATTTTGCAAAAAAAAATTCTGATGGTTTCTGATTTTGAATAAAAAGATTCTGATTTTTGAGTTTTCGATCTGGCAACCCTGGATATCAGACTCAGCGAATAGAAGAACATCGATTCACTAATAATTGAAAATTACTATCGAATAGAGTTTATTTTTCTCAATATTCATAGGTCTTATGTTTTTCTGAAATGATTTATACGCATTAATAAAATTATAGAAATATGGAGCCAGAGATGTTTTAAGTTGTTAACAAACAAATCGATCTTCATTTCATAGAATACTTTTGATTTGCTCTATTTTCATACTTACAATGAAGGATAATTTTGGAAACTATTCATCCGTACACACTAAAATAAAATGCATCGAACTTATACGTCGTGAATTATTATGTCCCAATTTTAATAAAGAAAATGTGTCGTGCTCGTAATGCGTCGTATATATATTTCTTTCGTTCTCTTTGCAGTCTACTCATCCACCCTTTTCTTTTGAAAAAATAGGTATATATAGACAACAGGGTCGAACATACGAAACCTATATATTTTCATAGAAATTATCTTTTTTAGAATATTTCTCGATAACGTATTCGAGAACATGCCTCTCTTGGTCGATGATCAAGAGAGAACTATCCTGAAGGGGTCTGATGGAGATTGGGCCAGCTCGAGACCGGACAGATCTCAAGATCTGATCTACTCGAGTTTTCAGAATACCAACAATTAAATGGAATTAAATTAAAAAAAATATCCTATAATTTTGTTTTTGAGAAAAAACAAATTCGAATGCGCCATGTAATAGATTCGAACCATGTTTTTAGAATGTGTCAGATGTGTCTTAGTAAAATGTGCTGCGCCGTCGCTGGTCAAAGTCTGTCACAACGAGCACGTCGTGTCCTACTCCAATGTGTCATGGATTGTGTCGCAAATCACGACACATGCGACAAATTTTAACTTAGAGTGTATTCTTTGATATCTTACCACTAGTATTGTTTTTCTTCCGATTTAAACACCTGTCATACGTAGTATGACGGTGAAAGGAGTTTATGGTATACTAATGTTCACTGCTGTAGAGATTACGATCAAAAATGTTTTTTTTCTCTAATTCAAGCGAATTCCATCAGATTGAGTGATCGAGCAATTAGGTTTTAAAATAATTTTTCTAGGTATTTTTGACTAGATAATACTTTAGTTGTAGTACGAGAAATTTGGAAACGCAAAATCTTCTTTTGCATCACTCGTCAACGGCTGAATGAGTTTGGATCGTTAATTGCCGAAATCCATCAATTTCATACAAATACACGTACAATCAAGAGCAAAGAACGAGCTCGACAGAGAAGAATTAATATTATTACAAGAACAGGAACGATGAATATCTGTAATGAGGGTAGAAAATTTTCTTTAACACAAATGTAATCACACATCATTCTGGAAGCGTATAGTTTGACTAACAACCTGGAGGGTGTGGGTGTGGTGGTATGGGTATGGGTGTGGGTGTGGTGGTATG